CTTCAACCATAGTTTAATCTTCTGAACCTTCGGTCCGATCCACTCATCTCGACCTTCCCCCGAGGCCAACTCGGCTGGTTATTCCTCATGAGATAAATCAAATTTGGGCCTAGACCGACTTGGTAGACCTTTGGCTTGGGCTAATTGGTCGAACCTTCAATCAGGGCCAACTCGACTGGACCTTGGCTTGAACCGATTCGACTTGACCTTTTGCACATGTTGACCTAACTTGACCTTGGACTCAGACTAATGTGTCTTGACCTTCGTTCTTGTTGATTCATCTCGACATTTGGCCCTTGCCAACTCGTCTCGATCATCAACCAGGTCTAATTGTTTTAACCTTTGTCCCAACTATCTCTTCTTGACCTTCAACCACAATCGACTCGACTAGTGCTTCGTTTTAAGTCGAATTGGTTTAACCTTTGACCTGCACTTACTTATCTCGATCTTCAGCCCGAATGATCCATCTTGGTCTTCAATTCAGGCCAATTTATATCAAACTTTGGTTCGGTCGAATCAATTCAAATTTCAACCTAAACCCACTCTCGGCTAAGAGTTTAGCCCAAGCCAACTTGTCTGAGCCTTTAATGACTCGACTAAATCTTCATAAGTGAAGTAAGAGTAAAGTGAAAATAAATTAAATTTCAAATTTCTTATATTTTTGTTAAGTATTTAAAATTCTTCTACTTTATTAATTTGAAATACCTTTAAAAAAGTTCTTAAATTTTAATTTTTTTTAATTATTTTATCAAAAAGATGGTAGTATAAAGAATTTTAAAATTTTCAAATAAATGAGTCATTCTTCTAAACTACTCATCCAACCACAATATTAATGTTTGACTTTATTGTGACAGTATAATTATTTAAAAAAAATAAGATAACTTTTTATGAGTTAAAACTATTTTAGTGCAAGTTAGAAGCTACATTTTAAAGAAATTACATAAAAGAAAATATAATTTCTTTTAACATAATGCTAATTTTCTTCTAGAATCTTTTTGAAAAGATTTGTTTAAGTACAATAATTAGAAATATTTTTCTGTCAAAGGAAACTTATACAAATTAATTTATGTATACATTATTTTGAATTTTTGAGGAAGTCAATTTTAATTTTTTTTTTCTTTTTCTAATTTGTAGGAGAAAATTGTTCAAACAAATAAAAATTAAAGAAGTTAGAAAAAAAAATAGAAGTCTCTTTACAAATTTATTTGTATATAAATTAATTTTAACTTTTATAAAAGTTAATTTTAATACTTTTTGTGTTTTTCTTTTTCTGAAAGTTATGGAGAAGTATGTTTAATCTTCTTTTTTTCTCCCCCATACAGCTCCCACTTTATAATTTTTATTCGTAATTTCTCGCCATTTTAGTAATTATATTCAAATGAAAATCATCGATTGGAACGCACTAATAACCGTTTGAATTTGAAATTATCAATGTTTCAAACTTCAGATGAAAAGTGTACATTGAAAAATCAGAGAACTTATAAATAAAATATTATTGATCAGAGAACTTAGACAAAATCCAGTTTTTACCCTTTTGTATGTGTACCAAAATAACCATAGAGACGGAATTTAAAAATTTATGTCTTTTTCCAAACTTTTTACCACTATGTCAACATTTTTTATAATATTTCAATTTTAGTGGTAAAAACACATTTTTAAATTTCAAATTGCAGGATCTAAAATGTTTTCAACCCATGGATAATTGGGATTTTTTTCTACACCTACGAAGGTGCAGGAAGAAAAGGTATAATAAAGGTGCTAAAAGAAATTACCCAAAGTGAATATTGCCTATACTAATCCAGATCTTATTTTAGATTTAGTAATATAATTTGAATTATACAATTTAAAATATATTTTTATATTATACAATTCATAATGCGTTCTTAAATTTTTTTCTCAATTTCAATTCTTCAACAATATTACAAAAAAAATAATTTTAAATTGTGCAATTCAAAACACGTTAAATTATGTAATTCAGAAACTTTTTTATCACTCAATTCAGACTTTTCTTGGCAAAAACTACATGAAGAAATAATATTTTTACATTTCTCACTATCCATGAGATGTTTATAAGATTAAAACAAGATTGGATGAGTCTATTGAATGTCACAACATTCATTTAATTGCTAAAGGACTCTCTTAAAAAAATACTCTAAAGTATGTATAAACCTATTTATCCGTCGCCAAAAGGACTACTATTAATACTCTTATTATTGTTGCCCTTGTTTTTTTTGGTGCATTATTTTCAAATGAATGTTAAAAATATTTTTTTAATGGTAATATGAGAGAGAAGATCTATATAATCACTCATTCATGTATTTCTCTTACATCTTATAAATACAAAAAAAAAAAGCTCTAGAGAATATCCACTTAATTGAACATTTCTAGAATTTCAAAACATATTAATTCCCATATTTAATGAAGAATAATTCATAATAATGAAAATAAAGTTATCCAAAAAATTAAAATATTATCGTAGCTACATATAGTGTGGATTCTCAGTGCAAAATCACATTCTTTCCTTAACAAAACCAAACTCACTTACAAAAGTTTCGACAAATAATTAAAAAGGATTTGAGAGTAATTTTATGAACATGGTCTTGTATAGAAGTCAGAGAGTAATACATAACAGAAGAGTGA